TTTTTAAGAAATCAATTGATTTCCAAGAAATAGACAATAGTCCAAAAACAAGCTAACTCAATCTATTGGGAAGTGTCAGTGTCTGTAGTGCGAATGTGGTGGAAGTGTCAGTGTGTAAGTGTACGTGTCGAAGTGTCAGTGTTCAAGGGATTTTCCGGAAGAACCCTTCGCAATGCTTTCGGGAATAAACATTGAATTAAAAATGGGTCATACATATGGAAATTTAGGAAGGATTGGAGGCTAAACATTCTTGTTAAAGTCTGTCAAATGACCAATGGTTTTGCGGGCACCGCGCGAGTCACAGCTATCCAGATCCCACGTTGCAGGCATAACAAAGTTCAAGAAAGTATCCACACACAGATCCTGCAAGGCCACCCATCTTCTAAACGACTTACTACAAGACCAGACAACTTAACTCCGTACCCGGTACCCATTGAAAAACACTACCCAGCTTTACCAAAAAAACTCATGGCGGACATGCTTAAATACAGCTTACCTTGTTGTGTTTTAACGGTCCACACCCTAGCTCATCCCCTTCACTGCACGGGTGGGGTGGCCCGGAGAGTGAACTGCCACTAGACCTTGGTTTCAAACAACGACCTGTACTCTCGGGTCATTTGGGAAGTCCTTTATTCCGTCCACCCACTAGAATCACCACCAGTCGTGTGGCTCACCAGCAAGTCGCCACATTTCAAAACTTACACACGCAGGTGTCCCATTCCCCTTTTGACCGAGGCCTCGCCAGACCGCCAGACCGCCAAACCGCATGGCACAGTGACAGCAACTATTGAAATGTTAGTTGCTAGTCTGACGGAAACTGTACGAGCGTAGAATATCGAAGATTCCATATTTTCATATATTTTCATTAAAAATAGTTGTATAAACGGAAAGGAAGACCCTTCGATTTGGATGCTTTTTCAATTAATTATTGATACGAGCTGGATCAAGCATAAAAAAAAAGTGTCCTAGGCTATCTTTCCAGTTTTCCATCTTTGGGGGGTCCTCCTACTTTAGGGAGCCCCTATTTTAAAACAATCGACAAAAGTTCTTTCTTATTTTGGGGGCCGGGTGTAATTTAGTAGATGGAAGGAGTTCACTTGAAGCAAGCTGTGTAGGTCCCAAACCTCCTGACCCTCTCGAATCTCGTAACAAGACCGTTTTTCGTCCGAACCAAATCGTTAGTGCGAGCACTATCCTGCGCCCTAAGTAGTAGCTACTTGCAGGTAGTAGCTACCTCTCCCTACTAGCTACCTAGCTACCTCACCTCCTAGCGACCTACCCCCCCCTTTAAAAAAAGGTTTTTGTGTTCATCCTTCCTTCCTGGTTTCTCAGGTCTTTCTCAGACTGAGTCCCGAACTGCGAGTTCCAAAACGTCTCATAGAGTCGCCCAGCGCGAAACCTTGAAACCAACATCGCTCGTCCAAGTGTTTGAACAATAAAATATTATTAAGGAGGGGTAGGCCGCTAGTGCTAGTAGCTATAGGCTAGCTAGGTAGGTAGCTAGCTAACTAGGTAGTAGCTAGTAACCAGGTAGCTAGTAGCTACAAGAACGCTACTACGGACAGGATGGAGGATAGCTCACGCTATTCATGTGGTTCCTAGATGTTGAGGGAAACTTAACTTTCGTTGTTTCACAAGTTGAACACGTCACCAAACCCTCACAATCCGTTGGTCAAGTTTGGGCAACTTCGAGGAACTATATACTTTTACAAAAACGAAGCACATGAAACATGGAAATGCATTCTTGCTGGACTCTTACTCGATGCCGCAAGCAACTTGATGCCTTCCTTGAGGAAAGTCCAGGCCTTCCAATCAGTGATGTAACAAATTTTACTGTACACAGACTGTACACAAAGTATCTTCAAATCAAAGGTATGATAAAACTATCTGCATCTAAAATCTATTTGAATTGAGTTCACTTGGACAGCTCGACATTCAATTTCTTGAGACCATTGCCCATCGCTTAGGCAGTGCAGCCATGGAGCCTGCTGGGAAAAACAATGGAAAAAGTGGAGCATGTTGACACTTAAAAACAAGGATACAACTGATGTAGAATTGCATTTTGGACTCTGGCCTCCGAATCACCTGAAGGCACTTTGGGAAACGGCTTGGATCTCGAGCCAAAGAACAGAACAATGTAGATTGCAGAGAGCACCGGATGCAGGACCTTGCTTGAGCATGTGAGCATGCTAAGCATGTGGATCAGCGCTCTTTTCCGCTCTTCATGGAGCCAGGATCAGGCTGATTGAATCAGCCGAAGAATAAACCGTAATCTATTTGACTGTTTGACATAGCTATCTGTCAATCTATGGTGCGGGTTGAACAGGAAAGCTTCCTAGATTATGGCGTCAGGCGTGTTGGATCTCGAGCAAACATCGAGGCCTTCCGGATGTTATCCAGGCCCAAGTACCTAAAACGTTGCACAATAACAGTTATGCGAACACATCAACAAAAGAACTCATGTAATATCATGTAATGTATGTGGCAAGGTCTTGGTGCAATGAAAGTGCAAACGAAATAATAATTCTTAAGCATTTAGAAAACAAATGAATGAAAACAGTCTGTTCGCCTTAGTTCAACTGGTTGAAATTTGGCAAATGCGCGGATGTTTTTCACACTCTGAAGTCACCAGGCCCCCAACAACTGCACAATTCGCTCCAGGCCGAGGCCTACACCACCATGTGGAGGTACCTGAGTATCACTACTCACTTTTCTGGCCTGCAAATGAAAAGCATGTCCAAAAACAAGGTGACACGGGCTTTCGCAACCGTGCGTTTGTGATCGCAAGTCGCACCTCGCCTGCGTTTTAAGCACTGTTTCAAAGGTGCAAATTATGCGAGGGACGACGAAAAGTTATATCCACTCATTTTTCTCCTTCGAATTACGCCGATAGATCCATTGGAAGATTATGAAAACGATGACAATGTTATGCAGGACGATAACGTTGTGAAACCGATGACAATGCTATGAAACCGAAGACTACTTATCGTGAAATCGATGACAATGTTCTCAGCATGACATCCACATCCTCATTCCATCACAAGCCCCCACCCCCCCACCCCACCCCATTCTTGATCACACGACTAGTCGGTGACAATGTTATGAAACCGATGACAATGTTGTCGAACCGATGACAATGTTCTGAAAACGATCACTATGTTGTGAGACCGAAGATTACATATCGTGAAATCGACGACCATGTTCTTCTCAGCATGACATCCACATCCTCATTCCATCACAACCCCCCACCCCCCCCACCCCGTTTTAATCACACGACTAATCGATGACAATGTTATGAAACCGATGACAATGTTGTCAAACCGATGACAATGTTGTGAAAACGATGACCATGTTGTGAAACCGATTATTACATATCATGAAATCGATGAATGGAAGCAGAAATGGCAGAAATCGTGCATATACATGTGCAAGAAACACCGAAAATGTGACAAAATGTGAACGCCTCCACGGTTGTGAAAATCCATGTCACCAAAAACAAGGTGGCTGGAACTGATTCATGGTGACTTTCTTAGGGCTCTGGCACCGTGCCTGAATGATTCAATGTAGGACCTAAGCAATCTACTTTGACAATTGCTAGTCTAGTTTATCTGCGTGGTGTGGCCGAAACACTGCCGCATGAGATTGTGCACCATAACACAAAGACATTGATTGTGCCTCAAAAGTTCGGCGGTCAGTGTTGCATTTTATATGTGTGGCCCTCCAACGGTGAGCATTCACAATGACCATATCCTCTTGCAGAAGTTTTCGCACACTTGTTGACAGATCTAAGAAGTGGACTCTAAAGGGCCAGTTGGAACTCCAAGTTCGGCACACCTTGCCTGACAACATCAATGAAACTTCAGAAGGTGACCCTGCATCAGCAGAAAATTCAGGAGTAGGACTGGGTAGGCAAAACTGCCATGGGATGGTGACACTGGCGTGCGGCCTTCACGCTTCGCACAACGTCCACAGCTACCACAAGTTCCACGAGTTCCTTGTCCTTGCCCTTTGAAACCCTTGAGGTTGGAAGATAGTTCAACCGATAGCTTTAACCAGGGTGCCTACCAAGCCCGTGTCAACTTTTAGGCCTTGCAGCTGGCAGACGGCTTCAACAAGATCTTTGACAAGGCCACCTTGTCCCTTAGCATCTCGCAGGTTGGCAACCACCTGAGCCTTGCAGTTGGTCTACGGCCCCTTAGCATGTGGCAGTTGGCCCCCCAAACTGGAGCCTACAGTACTAGGCAGTGAAGCAGCTGCGGGCAACATAAGTTTTGGTTGGCAAATATTGCTCCCTCGTGTACACTGGCAGGAGGGGGGTACCACAACCCTCTCCTGCCTTTTGGTTGTGCATGATTGGGAACACCGACCCTGTCGGCTCAATACCCTGCAACACTGTTCTGCTCACGCCGAGCATATGGCTCTAAATAGCAGTGATATGTTCTGTGCTTCTTTGGATGTTTCATTAGTTTCCTGTGTTTGTTCAATTTCAGCTATGCTGCCTCCAAAAGCTGCGGATCATGGCATCTTTGAGCTCCACTGCCAATCTCCTGCAAAATCTGAGCACGGCCAAAACACGAAGATGAACGAATAGAACGTGCAGCAAGAGAATCCATCTGTAAACAAATTCTTGGCTGTCCTGGCCACAAAATATTACATCGTATGAGTTGGAGAATTCGGGCCTGCCATGGTTATGGAAAAGCCATATAAGGGAATGTAAAGAACCCAAGCATCCCACCAGGTTGGAAATATTTCAGCTGACTTGAAACGCATATATGATATGGGTGGTGTTTCAATAATCGCAGAACAGAAAAGAAACCCCTTCGCTGCAAGAACCCGAGAGAACAACGAAAGTGGCCAAGACTGCAGGATGAATTCAGAAAACAGCTTGTCATGCATGCACCAACAGACACCTGCAAAGCCCCCTCATGAAAGCTGCACAACAAAACTCTGGTAATTAAGCAGCAAGCTAGAAAAGATCTCAACTAAGATAACAAAGGTTCTTCGCACTGATCCAAAGGAAACAGATTCATAAACACAAGTATTCAAATTCGCTGGCACAACAAAGGCGCGCGAAGACCAGCGATGCTGGAAACACGAGAAGAACAGGCCCTTAAAACCAAGAAGGCTCCAGCAAGACATGTTTGCCTAGTACCTGTGACAAGTGAGCTGATTGTTGTTTTCTTACATGTAGAATCAGACCAACTACATGTAAGGTGTTCAATCAAATTGCCAGGCAGGCCGATCGTGGGAAGGCATTGTGTAAAACGGCCTAAGAAAAAGCAATGATTTGACAAAATTTGACGGACTGCCTCCAATGTACATTCCGCACATCGCCTCACCGCAGAGGGGTACTGGTCCAAGAAGAACAAATCAGTACCTCGAAGCGCTTGACCGCGGGAAGTCCCATAACCATTTGGAGCCAAGCTCGGCTAAGGTGCAGACCATACTTTTCTCGTACCAGATTTCCCAGCATCTTCTCCTCACCGGTGCTTAAATCCTCCATGATGTCCTGCAAGCTCAGACTGTGTAAGATTAAGCGGCCATCTACTGTAAAAAGTATTCAAGTCTTGAATGCGTGACCACGGGTGCATTCCAGCAAAAGTGCGAATCGCCCCAGCCACCGCAAGCTGTAACAAGCACAGAGAATAACAGCTCCAGAAACTGAAAAACATGGACAAGGTTCGCTACTAGGAGCAAAGGGCATCGCTACTAGGAGCAAGGACGCTACGAACCGGGCTCCTGGCCTTACTATTAGTAACAAGAAGCTATTAGAAACAAGAAGCTAGTAGTAACAAGTGCATCGCTACTAGTAACAAGTGCCTTACTAGTAGTAAACAAGAAGCTATTAGAAACATGCATGTGTCATGTCGATACCGCACCGGCAGGTCGCAAAAAAACGAGGTCAGGTCGGCTTGAGGTTTTGGCAGCATGACCTATTTGCATGCTATTTTATTGGACCATATGGTAACAACCGCAAAGCTTTGGTGACACCCTCCAAACTCTGGTTGAACCCGAAATGTAACCTTCCAAAACGCTGGTGGAGTCTCGAATGTGACACCCTGCAAACTCTGGGTGAACGCCGCAGGATGAAACTCCGAAGTGGATCTGAGTGTTGAATGTTTCCCTTTGGGCGTCACTTGGAGTGAAGCCATCCGTCCAAGCATGAGTGGCCATGTCAAGAAGGTTGTCCAACCAACGAGGGTCACAAGAAAAACCAAAAACTGTGAGGCAAACCCAAAGCCTTGGGGAGTTCTCACGCATCTAGGAAGCATAACTAACCTGTTCTAATCTACATCCTTTTTTGAGCCCATCAATGAGGAAAAACATTCCCGGATCTTCTCAACCACGTCTCCCTTCAGCCAATAGGATCTAGCTTCCTTCATGCAACCCAACAAGCTTCAAAAAGCAAAAGCATTAAAGCATTGAACTATTTCGACAAGCTGGCAAAGCTGAAATGTCCACCTCCTCCAGGCTGTTAGACTTTCTTGTAAATGTTTGGCAAAAATGGTATCATGTTTGCTCATGTCCTGTCAATGTAAACAAAAACAGTTGCCCATCTGTACATGAGACCAACCCCAAATCCGATTTGTCTAACTGCTCCAAAATAGCCTTTTATCGCTCACGCCGGCCGTTGCAGTACCCAAGACATAACAAGTCAGCTGCCATGGACCTCTGGTAAGACACATGATTTTTACATTTGTTGAAACGGATGATGATTATTTCACTGTGTTGTGAAAATGTTGCTTGGTTGAGCGTTATTATTACCCCCCACACCACCCCCACCTCCCACCCATCCCAGGTCTGGTTAAGAGTCAACGGATGATGAATTGTCGTGATAAGTGTATTGAAAAAAGCATCCGAAGCGTTGGGCGCTCTTCCTGTCGCCCTGAAGGCATGACTGCCTAAACTACACGGATGTTTGTAACCGCCTCTAACAAACCAAGCCGCTAGTGGCAAGGTAAGCAAAGAACAAGCATTCC